AGAAGAAATCAAGGACTATGAGAGTTTCACTGAATCAAGCATTAAATGACAGCCAGGAAGAGGCAATTAAGATATGAATTCATCAATTGAACATTAATTTTTGCCCATTCATCATTGAGCATATCAAAGCTGCCGTGAACCGCATGTTGAGACAGCATCATACAGATTCAGAGACTGCACCTCTCACAGTAAGTAAGATATGAACATATTAATTCATCAAACACCTGCCAGATTACAAATGAGTCAAGCAAAAACCCATGAATTCAAAATGAGTGTCTTGCAATGATATAAGCTTCATTATCAACTGATTTGATTGATATGAAGCTGTCTTCAATTAATATCAATTTTTTCACTATGATATCTACAACTTTGATGAGATTGAATTTCAAGAAGAAGAAGAACATGGACAGTGAGTTATAATCATCTTTAAAGACATGAATTCTGTCATACAGTCATCATACTCTCACAGGTTAATAACAGTGATAAAGTGTGTTAGTGCAGATGACACAGTATTGAATTCATTGATTATAATGAAATTGAAGATTCATCTAGAGGATTCATATACACACTTCAACTTATCTGACAACTACATCATCACTGCATCTGAGTCTGGCTTTACAAATAATGAGATTGAATTTGAATGAATCAAGCGGTTCAATAAGATGATAAAAAAGTGTCAAATGAGCAGTCATTGACTGCTATTAATGAATAATCATGAGTCTCATCTCACAGAAGAATTCATTCAATACTGTGACCTTCATAAGATTATTCTGTTCAGATTCTCATCTCATACAAGTTATATTCTACAACCTCCTGATAACATATCTTTTCAGCAGTATAAGCATTATCATACAAAGGCAGTTAATGAGGCTGCCTGCTACAGATATGAGCAGTATGATGACAGACAATTCCTTACTAATCTGGAGAGCATCTGACTGTAAGCATTCAAACCTGACACTGTGAGAGCTGGCTTTGCTGACTGTGGAATGTATCCAGTTAATCGCGATATAATTCTCAATTAATTGAGACCTCTTACCATTGATGATGCCCCGGATCTCAACATATACGATGGTGATGGTGATGTATGCGATCACTTTACTCTGCCACCTGCAGATCAACTGTCAACTGCCTCCTTGCAATTAATCTTCTCAGAGACAGTTGCAAAACTATGTCATCAAATCAATGCAGCAGTCAAGGCCTTAGAAGATGTGAAGAATACCCTTACACCTGGTTTGACAAGGCAGTTGAACAAGATCTTCAAGAGTAGCATGGTTCAGGCAGAATTGAATGCACACTGTGAGAGTGAACTTGCAGATCATTATTGAGCAAATAGATGTTGAGTCATCAAATCCTTCCACAGGCAGGTGCAAGTAGGTGAAGTCCTCACTATTAAGAATATCAATTGTAAGATCGCGACCTGTAGAGCAGATGAGATGAAAAAGACATTCAATAAGACTCTTCAATTGATTGGAATCAAATTTACAAAATCTACAGTCACTCAATCATAATAAGATAATTCTATAGAATCTCAACTTACAGTGAATTCTACACCTTCTAATGAGTATATAGATAATCTTTATATTATAGATAGATATGATGGTGATTATTAATTAATTTTTGAAGATTACTATATTCAAAATATTTTCTTTACAGTGTGGTTTTCTGTACACTGTGACACACTCACTACAGAGAGTAAGTAAGCATGACACGGTTATCTGAACAAATCTAAGAAAGTCTTCAATTGATGAAGAGATTTGAGAAATTATTATTATTATTATTCTTCAATTATAGATGTATGCAGTCAGAGACTATGACATCTACCTGAGAACTTTAGTTCTCAGGGTTTTTTCTATGTCTGTAAAGTTACCTATTGTACATTCATCAATTTCAGATATGCAAAATCAGAAAATTCCAGCTCAGAATACAAAAACTGTTTACAAATTGCAGTGTTTTAACATCTTTTGATACTTTGAAACCATTTGACAATATCATGACAAAAGAAAAGAGAGAAAGAACACAGTCTCAAAGATAGACACATTAAATAGATAGATAGAAAGAAACTGAAAGGAAAAGATACAGAAAAAGATAAAGTAAAGAGAGACTATAACAAAACAAATTATTAAAAGAGAGTGTATAGCTGTTTTAACAGACTATATCTGATTGATTTCCTCCTCTTCATATTCAGATAATTCTGAATTTAGCCATTTTCTTGTAGCTGCTTAAGTTTCTGATAGAAAGTCTATTAAGTATTTAATTCCTGTCTCAGTTGAGAATAAGAATCTCATATTTAATTGATTTAGATCATACTTCTCTTTCAATCTGGCTCTGAGACTATTGTATAATGCACAGTGCATTATAATATACTCAGGATTCTCATTTGTATTGCAGAATGAGCATTCTATTGAGTCAAATCTATCATCAAATCTTTGTATATAAGATTTGAAATAGCCATGTCCTAGTTTCAACTGTATTATAGATGAGAATATTTTCTTTTTACATTTAATTGAACAAGATTTCCACTTGGGTTTTGTTTCAAATCTTGAATAATGTATACTCTTCTTTTGTTTCTGCCAGCTTTCATTTCACTTGTCTAAACAAGATTCTTTTATTTCTCTCTTTATAAAAGACCAGGACACAATTTTTTGAATAGATCTGCTTAATTCTGCACCCTTTTTTGCAGCTGAATCAGCCAATTCATTATCATGAATATTCATATGAGCAGGAACTCAGTGCAGATGAATTCTCAGCTTTGATGTTCTTCTCTTTTGAATTTTTAAAACAGAGTTTAAGATCAGTTCAAGATTCATTTGATCATTATGAATCTGACTATTTCTAAGTCTTTTTAAAGCAGCTTGACTATCAGAGAATATCCATGCCTCTTTCAAACAATTTCCTCTTTTATGAGATTTTATTTCAATGAGTTTGAAAGCTTTCACTATTGCAAATAGTTCAGCATCAAAGACTTCACATTCAGAGCCTAGATTCCAGAAATCTGAGATAAAATTAATATTATCTTCAGTATAAGCAATGCCTGCGCCTAATCTATTCAAGTTCTCATTTTTTATGTCATCTGAATAAATCAGAATAGAGTCTTTTATATTGATTGTAGAAATTCTCTTCAAATGCTGTTCATATTCTTTCTCTTTTGATAGTTCACTTATTTGTAAGTCTATAAGAGATTCAAGCTTTTTTCTCCAGGGAGATAACTTCTCATGATCAACTTTTTCAACATTTAAAGAAGAAAATTGATTTTTAATTAGAGAGCATAGTCTGTACAGTTGAGAAGGCATTTTCTTTGAAGAATTATTTTCATTCCAATCAAGAAATCTATTCCAATCCAGTTCATTTCCAGAGTTAATTGATGGAAATGAAGAAGAGACTCTTTCTCTGATAAGAGATTTGAGAAAGAACAAGTTCTTGATAACTTTAACTTTGAATTTATGCATTGAAAGTCTTAGATGAAATACTTTGTGATCTGAAAGAGATACTGATAAGTAGATAAAATGACACTTTCTAATGAAGAGAGTCAGATCAGATATCTTCAGATATAAGAGAATTGCTTACAGATCAGAGAGGTGTTGATTCAGTGACTTGAAAAATATCACTATGTCATCAATGTAGACTAGAAGGCTGAATTATAAGAATTTGTAATGAATTATAAGAATTTGTGAAGAATTATCTTCATCATGCTTTGAAAAAAGCCTGGACTAGATGCTAGACTCATACTTAATACAGTTAATTACTGATAATCTCAATGCAGAGTTATAAAGACAGTTTTTCATCTGTTCTTAATATATATAAGAACTTGATAAAATTCTTTAATTATATTGAGAGTGAAGAATACAACTTCATTGTTAAGAGAGAATAGAATAGTATCTTATCTAGAGAGAGAATAGGCATTTGAATATAATTGTGTGTTAATTCTGTAAAGATTGATTATGACTCTGAGTTTTTCATTTCACTAAACTATGAAGATGAGGGACACTGTGTGTAACGTGACGGAACCGAAGCAGTGGCTAGTCAGCGGCATCATGTAGAGGTAGTTGTTTGAGAAGCTGTATGAGTGAGCTTGACTATCTTACTTGAATAGTGAGCTTGTAGACTACAGAATTATTGCAAGAATATCACAGATATGATACTTAGTATACTAAGAAAATTATATAAGAAACACAGTAACTCTTGTATATATTTCAGTAGAAGAAAAACAAATCACTGACTTCTTTAATAAGAAGCCAGCACCTAGCTATTCTATATAGATAATGAGTGAATACTCTTCTTTCATTTCACAGCAAGAATAGTCAGAGTGATATCTCAGCAGCATCTCATTGTTAAGAAAGAGTAATCTGCTGATCTTATATAGAAGAAGAGTTCTCATATTCATTAATCAGATCTTTCTATGATATATTCAAATAATATCATAGAGTGATTGAAAACTGGTTTGAATGATCTGTGAGATGAATGAAATCATTTATATAAAAGTAATAAGCTGTGTGAAACTGCAACAGAGTCTTGATACAGTTGAGAGTGTGACAATACTCTTCTCTTTAAGAGTATAGTTCTGATGTTCTTAAGATTACTGAATTAGAAGTTATCTTTATTATATAGTAATAGTTATCAATCAATTGACAGTGTGTATACTGTATAAAGAAATAGATGAGTTTTTCTACTGACTGTGTAAATCTTTCTTTTTTCATCTTCATTCAAATCAAACATGTGATAAGTGAGTTTCTTATGTATTAATTTAAGATGTGAAAAATGTAGTTAATACATGACTTACAGATCTTTCATCATATTTCATTCTATATATGAAATTCTCTATAAAAGTAATGTATTTTAGAGACAAAGCTAACAGTAGTGATAGAATTTTTTTGAAAAGATTCTCTCTCTCTATAATACATTTTTCTTTTCTTTCTCTCAATTGCAACAGTGAGTGTATGAGAGTATTATTCTTGAAAGATAATACAGAACTTATTCTGACATTTTCTAGTGAATAAATATCTTCATGATGCAGCTGCGGTCTTCATGACTGTCAAGAAAGCCAGATTGAAGACAGAGACAGTGATGTCAATAAGCTGCAGTAGCACTGCTCTCATTGTCATATCTTCTTCTTCTACATCTCTTATAGCCGCGGTGATAGTAGCTGTATCTTGCAGTGAAGTGTCATTTCTTCTACCAGTCAGTTCATCTGTATTCAGTTCATTCCCTGCCTCTTCTACTGTCATTGCAACACTGTCCCCTCTCTCAATCAACACAGTGATGTATAACCTTATATAGTCATTCAGAGAGAACTTCAGAGAGAGCTTGATTTCAGAGATAGTAACTCTGAGAAGCTTAATGTGTAGTTTCTCTTCTATAACATACTTAAGCCCTGCTCAGAATACTGCTGAGTTGAGTCTACAGAGTTCTATGATTTCTTTATCTTCTCTCTGTGAGAAGGCTTCAGTGCAGTCTCTGATCAGTATTATCATTTATCTATACTGTGCTAAGCAGCTGAAGAAAGAGAGGATTTTATATATCTATCTCTTCTCTTACTTCTATTATTTTCATTACATCTGTAATAATAACTTCTATCTTTTTATAAGTATTATCTACTCTATGAGAAGACATCATATCAGTTCTGATAAGAAGCTCAGATATTTAAGCAGTACAGAATGAGAGTCTCAGAGCTTTAAGTATTAATGAATTCTATTAAGACTGAGAAGATTTCTCTTACTTATCTATAAAAGAAGATGAAAGTGTGAATCTCTGAGATGAAAAAACATCTCAGAATAACTAATCTTAAGAAGAGATCAGCTGACACTGCTGTTGAAAGTGCTACAGAGATGAATTACTGATTGAAGAGAATCTCACTTCAATTAAAGCAGATAACTGAGATACTTTATAAATTTATAAATTAATACTTCAAGTATCTCTTATACTCTTTTATAGCATGCTTCTCTGCAGTACTGCAGTACTAACTTCTCAGTAGATACAGATATCAGTGTCAGAAACTTCAATGATAAAGAATGAGTTTGATAACAATGTAATTATTAATAAGTAGACTCTGAAGTTTCTTCTTTTTACTTTTTCAGTGAGCTGCAGCTCTATTAGAATAGCAGTAATCTGTAAATTAATAATATTAATCTTTATTAATTTTCAATATCTCTTTCTTTTCTTATTAACTGCTTCAGAAATTTTACACTTATATAGTCTTATTAAACTTCTAAAATCTCTTTAAGAGAAAATAGAAGAAGAGTACTATAAAGTTCACAAGATACTGACTCATCACTGTGAGATTATCCCTAAAAAATCTCTTAACAAAAATAAAAAGTCTTAAATAATATTTCTTATTCAACATCTCTGATATATAATAAGACAGTCTCTACTAGCTGTCTCATAGCTTACAATCTCTTTCTCAGTATTTTTCAAATACTCAAGCAGTTCTTATAAATTCTCTGATGATGAATAATCTTTTCATTTAATAAGATATTAAAGCTTATTATAATGTATTCACTTATTTAATATTTTCTTCATAAGATATTCAGTATCATTCTCAATTTTGATATTATTCAGCTGAGACAGTTCTATTTTAGAACATTACTTATAGAGCTTTAAATAGAAAATATAAAAAACAGAATGAATTGATTTCAATTCTAAGAGAAATTTCAACTTATATATCTGCTTACTTATTACTCTTGTTATTAGAAAAGATTCTAGTTACTACTCACTGAGCTTCTTACACAGTCTTATTATCTTGATATTCTTTACTGAAAGTAGTACTTGATTCTCTATTAAGAACTTCATTGAAAGATATTTTTAATTATAGTATTCTATCTATCACTTCTGAATACAGTGAATGCTTTTTATCATCTTCTTATAAATTTTATTTAAAAGTTTTAATCTTACTTTTACTTCTGATACTAAGAAGTACTCTGTTCTCTGTATCTATTCAATATTCTGACTGTCTATTTTCTTCTTTGAAACATTATTCACAATGTCACTGAGTAATAAAGAATTATATTTATAATAAGTATAGAAAGAAGATACTTTTAAGATTGCATTTTTTATATTGTTATATATGAATTCAGCAGTCAGAAGATGTTTAAGTTAATCATTCTGATAATATAAATAGAACACTTGAAGATACTGTTCTAATATCTGATTCTGATATTTGATCTGATCATCTGTCTGTGAATAAAATATGATACTGAGAAGACATTCTATTATAAGATAATAGTAAAAAGCTGACCAGTATTTACTGATGAAGAGAGATTCTCAATCTATGATCAATGATTTCAGAGCACTGTGATTATAAATAATAATATCTAAAAACAGATCAGTCAATTCAGAGACTTTAATCTTTTATAAACAGAGATATATTTTATCATCTTTATAAAATAATTGATAATGACTAAAATTGAGTTATATTCTTTAACTCTTATTAACTTCAGCAGATCAACTATAAAATTCATTGATAGATTCTACTATAAGTTCTTTGAAACAGATAGTGATATCAACTTACTATATTACTTATACTGCAGAATCTTTATTCTTTGATAGATATTATAAGTCTTAATATACTCTTTAACATCTGTTCAGAGCTTATCTCAAATATATTTATATTTTAGAAGCTTTTCAGTCTTCTCTAATCTGAAGTACTCTATCTGAGAATTATTATGATGAATTCTTAATAACTTCTAATACATCATTCTACTATAAGAGACAAAGACTGAATCATTCAGCAGTAGAAGTTCATATTCTTCTAGTTATCAGTGACTTGATTTCTTAGTGATATCACTCTGCTCAGAGTCTATCTCTTCTAAGTTCAAACTGAATTCTTTCTTCTTTAACTTCTGAATTCAAGCTGTAGTAGAGATATTTCTGTTCTGTAACTTGTCAATGAATTTCAAAACTAGTTAAGTTGAAAGATTGTAGACTGTTTTATTCTTTATCAATTCAATAATAGTAAGATATAATATGAGAAGCTCATGATCTTCAGTGTCAGTTCTCTATAAGAATCTAAGTTTTCTTTCATCTTCTATACTGAATCACACAGCTGTCTTACCAGCACTGTTTCTAAGCTTTAGAGAATTTTAGTTCTCTGCAGTCAGCTTCTTCTGCAGTCATGACAGAGATTCTTTTATAGAATTCTTCTTCACATTAATAATATTATAAGCAGATCATCTAAATAATATATCAGTGAGATTAAGCTGATTTGAATAATATTAAATATAGAAATCATACTCTGAAAGCAGCTTCACTCATCTAACTTGATGTTCTGTCAAGCTCTTTATTATTAAGAAGTAACATAGATTTACATGATCAGTGAGAACTTATACTAAATACTTACTACTCTGAAGATAATATTATCAGATCTTAAAGAATTTAACAATTACTAATATCTCTTAATTATGAATATCATATCTTCTCTGTATAAGTGATAACTTCTTGAAGAAAAAAATCACTGATCTTTATTCACAGTATTTTATAGACTCTGTGAAGAAGTCTTCTCTTACAGATATTTCATTATCTGTATTTTCAGAAGTGATTATTCTCTGATTCTTTCAATATTGAAAGATCTCTGATATTAACTGTGAAAAGATTTCACAGACTTCATTCTCAGATGCATTAGTCTCATACTGACTAAGTAAGTTGAGATTAAAGTAATTCAGTATTGTGATATCTGTAAAAGCTTGTTTTAATTCTGCAAACATCTGTACAGTATCTTAAGTAAGAATAAACAGTTCTGTTTTTCTGTCTTTTATACTTCTCTTTAACAGATCTGTAAGAAGAGCAGTAATCTGTGAATATATATAGATAAATCATCTATAGAAATTTACAAATTCTAGAAACATCTACATCTCACAGTATATCTACAGTATCAGCCAGTTCTCAATGACAGAGACCTGACTTCTGTTCATTGAAATGCTGTTCATCTCAATAATATAATCTAAGAAATCAATCTCCTGCATATAGAATGAATATTTTTCAGTGTTTATATAGAGTTGATACTGTCTCAAGTGACTAAATACTTCTCAAACATAGATATCATGTTCTTTCTCTATTTTTAAGAAGATTAGAATGTCATTTAGATATACTGTATAGAAGATATTAACAAGGCTCTGCAGTATCTCATTTATATAGATCTGAAAGATGACTGAAGTATTACAAAGATTAAAAGATAAAACAAGATATTTAAAATTGCTATTCTTAGTATGAAAAGCTGTTTTTTAAATATCATCTTCATTAACTCTGATTCTATGATAGACATTCTGTATATCAATCTTTGAGAACATCTTTGCTTCAGATAATCAATTGATCATCTCATTAATTAACAGTAATAAATAGTGATTCTTAATTATCATCTTATTGAGATCTCTGTAGTCTACATATAGACATAGTCTATCATTCTTCTTAAGTATAAAGAGTGTAGATGTCTTTGCTGAACTCTTTGATAAGTGTATTCAGTTCTTTGATTGCACTTTCTCAAGATATTTATACAGAATATTCAATTTCTTTACAGATAAGTTGCAAAGAGGCCTGTACAGCACTGTTACATTATCTTCAAGACAAATCTTATATTGTATCTTGATGTTAGAAAACTTCACTGCTTCTCTTTCTGAAAAGACATTCTTATAATCTGTAAAGAGATATTATATTCATCTATCTTTAATAACAGATACTACTGCTAATCTTGCAGTGAGAATGATGACTTCTTTATCTTTTCTTAAGTCTCAGTCATCTGCTATATAGTATATTAACTCTATCTTTTTCTCAAGATTCTTTCAATAAAACTCTTCAGATTTCTCTATTACTGTCTCTTCATCAGTGAGATAGTACTATCTGAGTGACTCAGTCAATGAGAGAATTGTTTTCTCTCAATTATAAAAGATCTAGAATGATGTTCTCATCTATGATATTAACTATATGAAGAAGCAGACTACTTTTCTTAAAGATTTCTTCTGAGTCTGTGATTACACACTTCACTTAAATTATGTTAAAATGATAGTATTTTATTTTATCAGTAAATTTCATATAATCTGATAAATCTATCTTCTTTCAACTCTGTATCACAGAAAAGAGATAGAATATAAAGTTGATATTCACTCTGAAGTTAAGTAGATATCTTACTAGTATCTTCTCATTCAGAGTATATATTGTAATTATAATATAAACTCAGAGATATAAGAATTATTAATTCTTTATTTGTTTCTCTTCTTTATCTTTCATAGATACATTTGTC